CATCCCTCCTCCATCTTGTCCCCATCCCTCCTCCATCTTGTCCTCATCCTTCCTCCATCTTGTCCTCATCCCTCCTCCATCTTGTCCCCATCCCTCCTCCATCTTGTCCCCATCCCTCCTCCATCTTGTCCTCATCCTTCCTCCATCTTGTCCTCATCCCTCCTCCATCTTGTCCTCATCCTTCCTCCATCTTGTCCTCGCCCTCCCTGGCCCCCCTCGTCCTCCGCCATGATCTGATCTCCTCTTTTACACTGTGCGGTGATGTTGATGCTCTGGTATCGGTTCTGGAAAGTCGGGTCGGTTCTGGTTGCGTCTCCAGGGCGGTTCTGACACTTTGTACGCCGATGTTGTCAGGCTGGAAGGACTGTGGCGGACATGCTGGCTCTGTCATGTCGGTCCCTGGAAGGGGTTAAGTGTGTTTCCTGGGGTGGAGTCAGTTTTGCGCTCGTCTCTCGGTCTCCATAGCAACACAGAAAGGCATCCATCGGGAGGGGTCTGGCGGCGTGCCAGGGTGAGCGCTCCCCGGACTCCCACAATCCTCTGCTGGACATTTGCCCAACTAAAAACAAAATGGAACAAAACAACGTGAATAGAATGGTGTGTGTGTGTGTTTATCTCACCGCCGCCGTCACCACGCCCGGGAACATTCCCCGTCACCACACCCGGGGCCCATACAGGACTACCCATCCCCCCCCCCTGCACTTTACACCCGGGTCATGATTAAGAAATCAGTCACATCGACGTCACAGGAAGAGACTTGTGAGGACATGTAAATAAACACACACCCGTGACCAGGAGATCACCATACCAGAACTACAACTCCCAGCAGGTCTTATTTAAACGGTGTGATGGAGAACTACAACTCCCAGCATGTCCTATAGGAACAGGGTGAAGGGGAACACAGCTCCCAGCAGGTCCTATTTAAACAGTGTGATGGGGAACACATCTATAACAATATCGGGTGGTACTACTCCTCCCAGCATGCCCTATAACAATATCTGGCGTGGTACTACTCCTCCCAGCATGCCCTATCACAATATCAGGCGGTAGTACTACTCCCCTGAGCATGCCCTATAACAATATCAGGCGGTGGTACTACTCCCCCGAGCATGCCCTATAACAATATCAGGCGGTGGTACTACTCCTCCCAGCGTGCACCCCCCCTCCCCCCTCCTTGAAGCATGTGCTGCAGCAGGTCACGTGTCATCCAGCACACACGTGCGCCGAGGGGCCGCAGACGGGGCGGGGCTCTGGCAGCGCGC